GGGTCACAGGCTAACGTTCATTCGGCCCCAGTCGATCACGGCACGCTGCATTTGTTCCCAGGGATACGGTAAGAACCAGGGCCTGAGTCTTTCCCTGGGAGTTCCCGGACGGAAGGGGGGAGATGGGCCGGAGTGGGCCAGCGCTGCCTCTGGGAAGTTCTCTCCTCAGGCACTGTAAAGCCGGACGGGGAGGTTTGGTGCTTACCTTGATCTCCACCCTGGGTTGGGACTGGACGGCAGAGCCTGGGGAGAGAACAGAGAAGAGTGTGACGATCCAAGGCAAGCTGTGCTTGGGAGGGGGAAGGGGGCTCCTAGGGGCTTGGGATCACAGACCCGAGGGCCGCCTGGCTGAGTCTCCGACAGCGGCAGCTCCGGGTGCTGCAGAGGAAGGGGTAGGGACCCTGCAGGGGAAGATGGGGGATCTGCCCCCAAGAAGGCCTCCTCCCAGGAGCACAATGGCAGGAGAGTTCAGGGAAAGTGACTGTACCAGGGGCTCAGATGCCATGGGGATGGGCCCGACGCAGAACAGCTTAGAAGAGCAAGCGGATGTAAACTTTCTCATGCATATTCATGAGCTTCCTCTTACATTTTGCTCAGCCCTGTTCTGGACGATGAGAGACCCCCCCCCCCCCGCCCCGCTCCCCCTCTCCTGGCTTCCACATGGACATGGTCTCATGTGCGGCCAGCCCCGGCCATGCAGGCCAACAAGCACAGAGACTCTTCCAGCACCAGCAGGCAGGAGATGGGGGAACCAGTGTCACGGCCCCAGGAGTGAGCACAGTCCCAGCTCGGTGACAAACAGGGTCACTAGGGAGCACGGCCAGGCCCTGGAAGGCTGCCCTGACGCTGACAATCCAGCTGATTGGCTACTCTCCTTCCCAATATAACGGCCCTGACAAGCCCTCAATCACCGACCCCGTCAGTTCCCCCGAGGCCAGGCTCCGTTCCCTGCCCTGGCCCTGCTGCGGGACGCCTTTCTGGCTCTCGCCTAGGGCCGAAGGACACCCATGCGCCAGCCTGGTTTAAGGGCAGGCCCTGTGCCAGCTGGGGGGGTCGTCTCGTCTCAGTGTGACGGCAGGAGGGAGAACTAGACCCCGCGCATCCTCTGGAGCCCCTAGCAGCACACGGCCGAGTGACCGAGACGGGCTCCCTGCTCGGCGGGGCGCGGGCACAGCAGGTTCTTAGCGCTGCCAAGTTCACAACATCGACCCCTCCCCCCTCCCAGCCCCACAGCCTGGGGGGCAGCGCACAGTTAGTGCTCTTCGCCCCTTTAAACGCCACCCGGAGCAGCCCCTCTGGGGGGCAGCGCCGCCCTCTTCTGCCGGACGGAGGCGGTGGGAGTTCTGGCTGTGGCGAGCCCACCGGCACATCCCCTCCCTCCTGGCTGCCTGCCCTGTGGACGAGGTTCAGGAGGCCCCCCAGGGACACGCCCGCCACCAGCCTGACAGACCCCGGACGCGGGTCGCTACAGGAACATGGTGGCCGGTCCCCCCAGTGCTGATAATCACTCCGGCCCCACACGGCGTCCCTCAGCCCGAGCCCCACGCTCCCCAGGCTGGCCCAGCGCTCGTGTATTCCTCTGTCTCCCTGAGCAGTGAGCACCACGGACTCGGCCAATGCCGGATAATCACGGCTAGCCCCCAGGCCCCGCTCCGGTGTCCCTCCCGCCTACCTCTCCCCTCCAGTAGGGCACCTGTCCCTGCACTACCTGCCCCACCTCAGCCCTCCTCTCTCCCTCCGCACACAGCTGCGCTCTCGTCCTCGCTCTCCGGCCCCAGCGGCTGACTGTTGATACTCCTTTGGTTTCCCTGTGGTCCCTTCTGTTCTCCTCCCCCGCAGGCATTACCCGCGTAACGCGGACCCGGCACTGAAAGGGACCCGAGCCATCCCGGCCTGGGGCAGCTGGTGGGACCTGCAAGCGGAGTGCGGCTGGATCGCTGGGGCTGATTGGCTTCCCCCTGGTGCAAGAGATGAGGCTGGGGAGAGTAAACCAGAGCCCAGGAAGGGCGGGTTTAGATTCTGCCAGGGGCATGTTGCTCTCGTTTGGAGCTGGGTGGGAATCCCGCCAGCATCACTGGGTCACCTGCTCTGGAGGGACTCGGGGGGGGGGGAGGAAGGGGGAGTGTGCCCACTTTGGGGTCCCCACCTCCCACCTTGCAGTGCAGCGCCTTATGGGATCAATACGCCCAGAGAGGGAGGAGCGGAGCCTACCGACGCCAAGGCCCTTTCCTGCAGCCCCTGGATCGCCCTGCAATTCAGGAGCAGGCTTGGCCCCCTTTGGCCTGGGAGAGCTCAACTGATCCGTGCCCAAGATCTTTAGGCACCTGAAGATGTAGCTAGGCACCTACCTGAGTTTTTAGGCACTGAACGACCCTGGAGAATCTGGCCCCAGGACACCACGTTCAGAGGTTGCTAGTCAGCAGCGTCCAAAGAGACCTCTGCAAATGCAGCAGTGAGGCCCCGCTCGCTGCCTGGCCGCCCCCACGCTCTCGGGCAGCAGACGTGCTTTTCAGCTCCCCTCTGCAGGAGTGGTAAGAGCCAGCGCTTGTCTGAGCGGCCTGTGGGAGCCGGTCTCAGAGCAGCCTCTGGGGCAAACGCCCCACCGCAGCCCACGCTGGGGAGCCCCGCGAGGATGAGGTCACCAGCCAGCCCACATGGCCGCTGCCCCCCCCCTCCCGCAGCAGACGAGCCGGGGTGCCCAGCTGTCCAGACAGGGCGCAGAGCGAGGTGGCCCAGGAAGGTTACCTGAAAGGCCAGGGTCCAGGGAGCAGGAAGGTGCGGATCGACCTAGGACTGCGGTGGAGGAACAGGGGAACGGTCTGGCATCGCCAAGGCCGGCAAGAGCCACAAGTTGCCCAAACCGGCCCTCCCCAGAGGGTGGAGTGGTGGGCGGGGCAGCGGGAGGCAGCGTATAACGGAGAACAATTCAACCTGGCTACACTGCAGCTGAACCCCAGGCCTGCCGCAGCCCATTAGCGCAGGGCAGTTCTTTATCCCCCCCCGCCCTGCCAGCCACGGCAGAAAATAATTATCAGCCCTCCTCATCTGTAAAGAGGATTAAAAGCGGTTAACTCAATTTACAGAGGCTTTGTTGTGTCGGTTTTCCCCAGGCTGCTGCGCAAGGAGATTTCCACACAGCCACTTACGCCACTTTTATCAGGTTGTCTTCTGGAGGTAATTGGGTTTTGGAAGAGCCTGTTTAAAATGCGTAACCCAGCCTTGTAAACAAAACCAAACCAGCACCCACCGAGCAGAGCAAACACCGGCATCCTCAAAGGCGGGTTCCCCCCGTCAGTCGCCCACACGGAGACGCGGCAGCCCGGGCATCCTCGGCACGCAGCGGCAGGGAGCGCTGCGACAAGTGCCATGCTGACCCCTTGGCACATGTGTGGGTCTGGGCTGTTGAGAGCACCAGGGGTTTTGCTGCCAAGCCTGGAGGCACCTCACCCCTGTCCTGGGAAATGCCAGGGGACAAGTCCTGGAAACCCAAAGTCACTCCCTTGGTGTCCGGGGAGTGACGTTGGAGCGGCTGGAAGCAGAGCCCGGCCCGACGGCTTTTAGAGCATTTCCCAGGCTCGGTGGGTGAGCTGCTGTTGGGTGTTAGCCTGGCTCCAGCACCCTATTGGGTGAGCGGGTGTGGGGGGGCTTCACTAATCAGTGCCTGGGTCTGAGTGCTGGTGCAAGCTGGCGGCCTGGGGACTGCGGTGACTTCTGTCTGCAAACTGGCACGGCATTGGCAGGGCAGGCTGCCTGCCCACCCCCAGCTGCTCTGCATCTACCCCAGCCTGGAGGCCCCCCACCTGGGATGGCAGGGCAGGCCTGGGCCTCTGGTAGCCACCAGTGAACGCCACGGGTGTGGCTGCGGACACCTACATGTGACACTGGTTCTCTCGAGCTCCTTGGGCGAAGTGTGCGGCTGTGCAGGGGATCACCCGGAGCTCCCACCCGACCTCCAACCCCCTGCCCTCTTCATGGGGCGTCGGAGCCTTTCCCTGCACCCGGAGCAAGCGACTGGTCACCCGTTCTGAGCCCAGGTGCTAGAGAAGCCACCATTGTACTGTCCCCTCATCCAGCTGGGGTGCCCCCCTGATGCACCAGAACACACGTTTCAAACCCAGTGCAGCCCCCTGGAGGTTAACTGCCCCCCATCCTCCCGGAGGCCGATCTGCTTTTATTCTCCTTGAGGCCGATGCTCAGACTTGGCCCCCACCAGTCTCCAGTGCAGCCCATTCTCCTGCCAGCACAAACAGGGGGAGGTGCGTTTCATTCCCCAGCTCCATGCCGTGTGCGCCAGTGCTCCCCACGAGTAACAGACACCCTAAATAAGCTGCTGAAGCCAGAGCTGGACCCCCAGACAATGAAGCGACCCAGATCAGTGCAGACTGCGGCTGCCCCAAGGGCTGACCCAGCTGGGAAGAGCCTCCCTGAGTCTGACTCTTGGGGTCTGTAACGACCACTGGCCACTCTCCATCTGTCTGCTGCAGTGACCCCTCCCAGAGCCCCGACAGACTGCACATGGCTGGCAGCACAGGGAAACGCCCAGCCTGGGCAGCAGTGCTGGACAAGCTCCTCTTGCTGGCACTTTGCTGTTGCAGTGGGCCGGGACATTGTGATGCGAACTCTACCGAGGTCCATGAGGCCGCTCAGCCAGGACGTGTACGCGAGTCTCCTGCTGCTTCTATCCCGAGGCCTGACAAGAAACGCCAAGCCCCCGATTGGGAGACGCCGGCCAGTAGGAGCATGCTGAATTCACTCCTGTGCTGCTGAGGGCTGGACCAGTCACAGAGGGGCGGGGGCTAGCCGGGGCCCAACCTGGGGATGTATGGTAAGCAGGACCTGTCCCATACAGATCAGGAACCATCCCCCAGGGCTACAGGTCACGCCGCTACCCAGCACAACCCACAGAGCTCCTTGGGTAAGCAACAGGCCATGGGCCTACCTGCATGGCGTCCAGGCGCTCTGGCATGTTCGCGGGTTATTTAGTGCCACAGCTGGTCTGGACGGGGTTATAGAAGCACCAGGGAAGGGTGCAGAGGAGGCTACCCTAGGGAAAAGGTGTGTAGCCTCCCCATTCCCCAGCTAGAGGGGACTTGGCGGGTGAGCGGAGTCGTTACCCAGTAGCTTGAGTTGATTTGTTCTGATTTCAATTGGTTTCAGGAAACGAGGCCAGCCCCCAGCAAAGGGACGGGGTGAGACCAGCCGCAGGGACTTTGTGTTTCCTTCCCCAGCGGGTGAATCTGGGG